CGGGAGCCTTTAGTCTGCAGGCCGACGCTCTATCCACTGAGCCACACGGGCCAGGGCAGCACCCACATTCTCAATTCCGCTCCCCAGGGCTGGTTAAGCTGGGCGTGCACTGCATCACAGGCCAGAAGGTCGCCATCAAGATCGTGAACCGGGAGAAGCTGTCGGAATCGGTGCTGATGAAGGTGTGTGTGTGTGTGTGTGTGTGTGTGTGTGTTTCGGGGGAGGGGGACTCTTTGGGAACATGGGCGAGGGACGGGCTGTTCTGACCTCCACTCCTCTGTCACCATCACCATCGCCGCCACCCCCCCCGCCCCCCAGGTGGAGCGGGAGATCGCCATCCTGAAGCTCATCGAACACCCACACGTCCTCAAGCTGCACGATGTCTACGAGAACAAGAAATATTTGTAGGTATTTATAGACACCCCCCACCCCACCCCACCCCCGCGCCTCCCCCAGTTCCTAGGGCAGCACCTTTCGGGAAACAAGGCCTGGAGGGGCCTGGGGGAAACTCGAGGTCTCCGGGCCGGGCTGGGCCACTGAAGGCCCGGTCCGTTCCCTACCGCACAGGGACACCCCCCTGCACACACGTAGGCCTGACTGTCCCCACACTGACCTGGCTTGATGCTGGGGGTACACAGGACTGCCAAGCTTGAGCCCTGAGTCGGGGGGCAGAGGCCGACCCAGCCCCCTTGCACGCCACCCCGACCCCAGCCCTCCTGAACTGCAGGGCACACTGTACTGACTGGGTAATCTGGATCCCCCAGCTAAGAGCAGATCCCCCCAATTGCTAAGGCCACAGGGCCCAGGGACTCCCGCCTCCTCCCAAACCCCCACTCTGTAGCTTTGGAGGCCCCCTTCGCCCCCCAATGTGACTCAAAGTGCTATGAGTGGACACCCCAACAATGGGACTCCTTGGGAGTTCTGAGTCCCTATTTCAAAGTCAATTACCACCCCCAACCCCCCAGGAAGGTTGGGGGGGTGGGGTCCAGCTGTCCAGGCTTCAGACAATAGGCCTTTGTCTGGACTCTGGTGACCCAAGGGACAGCTGGGCTGCAGGAGAGAGGACAGCCCCGCTGACCCCGCCACCCAGAGTCCAGGAGGGCCTGGCTCCCACACCCATCCGATGCTGCGGGTGGTGGCTTTCCCAGGCAGGAGGCTGCCTGGCCCCAGAGGCTCATGGGAATTGTAGTCCTCCTCGGCTTCCCCAGGTGTTGCTGTGGCGGCAGGTGCTATCATCACTCCCACTCAACGGGAGTTCGGCTTCCCAGAGGACGCTCAGCCTCCCGAGGGGTCATGGAAATTGAGCTTTTGTTTTCCAGGGGCTGGTGGGGGGTAGA